TCCACCTGTGTTAGTCCTGAACTATTTTTTTTTCCTCCTCTTTGGCTACAGGAGCACGACATTGAAACGCCACATGGCGTTCTCCATGTGACAATGAGAGGCGTTCCAAAGGGCAACCGACCCATCATCCTCACCTATCACGACATCGGCCTCAACCGTGAGTCGGCCAAAAATAAGCTCATCAATATGCAGTGCTCTGTTCTTTGCAGCTAACAAAGACCGTTAACCCCTGCATGTCACATTTTATGTCTACGTCTTTCCACCTTTCTAGACAAGTCTTGCTTCAACACCCTGTTTAACTACGAGGACATGCAGGAGATCACCCAGCACTTTGCTGTGGTTCACGTCGATGCGCCCGGCCAGCAGGAGGGAGCGCCTCCCTTTCCCAGCGGGTGAGTGTCAGACTGGTTTTGCACGCGCCGATGAACGCGTACATATTTATTCATATCAGTGCTGTTGAGAGAGTTCCAATCAATTTGTGTGCATAGACAGGAAAGTGAGCTGTTGGTTCATTTTCTAATTGAAGTGCAGTCATCATCCAGTCTGTTCCTGAAGTATTTACTTACTTATGAATGAACTTGAAGGTAGCATTTTCTTTACTGCTCACATGGACTCACATGTGTCGCTCGTGCCCAGGTATCGCTATCCAACCATGGATGAGTTGGCCGAAATGCTGCCCTCTGTGTTGACTCAGCTGAAGTGAGTGTCCCCTGGCTGATAGCTAATTATTGATAAGATGATTTTGCCATAAATGAATTATTCATCTTCAGCCACACACTAACGAGCAGTTTCTTTATAGGGTGAACAGCGTGATCGGCATCGGCGTGGGAGCAGGAGCGTATATCCTCACCCGCTTTGCAGTAAGTCCACAGCAGGACCACGGCGTGTAGACTCACCCATCCTTATATTTCTGTTCTTCCTTGCCCTCGATGTCTTTATTTGTGTGATTCTCTGTCTCGCCTGTAATAATTAAAGGTTTTCAGACCACACAGTTTGTCACACTGAACGTTAAAGCCTCCCATCAAGCCCACACAGGGCATCAAGTTCCTCTACAGTCTGCTAGATATGCTGCCATTCCCCAGGTGATGAATCACCTTGGTTAAATATCTCTCTCTTCGTTGCTATTGCTTTGTTTCTGCATTCGGTACAGTGCAGCTAAAATAAGCACAAGCTAGCAGAAAGATCTCGAAGTGACATAGAGCAGTGAGGGAGCTCTAAAAAATGAATGATAAAAAGAGAGGATGGTAAAAGGGGAAGGTGTGGAAATGAGGAATTGTAGCGTTGGGCTCTCCGTGGACAGTCTGTTCTTATTTAGAATTAATGAGGAAAAATTGATTCTGAAACGCATTGCTTGCTTTAACTGGCTTGGAGCAAAATGTTTTCCCATGATGGATTTGCAGCAGATGCCGCCGCGCTGCATTAGCATCGTGTTGATGAAGCAGCAGCCGCCGCCCTCTCATTGGATCTTAGATCTCCCCAGATACCCTCTTTTTGTCTACAGGAAGTTCTAAAGCTGCACCCCTTGATTTAGAAGTGGTTTGTGACTCAATCATCATTTAACAGAACAGACATGCTTCACTTTTAATCATGTTTTTGCTTCTTTAGAGGACACGCAACATCATCAAAATGTTACAAACTTGTTGTTGTGAAGATGTAGCTCCTGGGAGAACATTCCCTCGTTCAGATGCTCAGATTAAACTACAATATGATTTAAAAATGATAAAGAGAAAGAAATGAATAAACAAAACAAAACACAGGGAGACATTTTTTGTTAAAAAGCTCTCATCCTCGTGCATCTTTACTTTCACAGCTGAACAACCCGTCCCTCGTGGAGGGGCTGGTACTCATTAATGTCGACCCGTGTGCTGAAGGCTGGATTGACTGGGCTGCTTCAAAGGTCAGTATTTCCGCCTCATCGATGACCAGGATTTTCATCATACATGAAAAGAGAAAATTCTGCCTTCTGAAGACAGTACTAGTCAATACGAATCAACTACCTAGTTAAAAATTCTATAAAAGCTCACCCCTCTTAAAAAATCTGTTTATTTATCTACTAGATATAAAATGTCCACTGCGTTATTTATAATCTTTTGTTAGTGTTTAGTAAGTCCGCTATCTATCCAGGACTCCCTGCAAAACTAGTCTGTGCTCCATAAATTGATGTCAAGGTACTTTAGGTTTTAGATGACTTCAGACATGTTGTGAAACTGTGTTTTACTGTCATAGTCTGGAAGCATCATTTTGCTTGTTGGAGCGGCAATGATAAACATGCATTTCTTATGGGAGAGGGGCTTAAATAATGTACACGCCATTTCGGTTCAGTTTCCAGCCTTATATCGTGTTGATATTAATTAATACATTGTGGTGTTGATTTGCCTCCTTGTGTATCATGACCGTGTTATTATTACTGTTATAAACTGGTGTTCGTGCTTTGGTTTCTTATTTAGTTAAAAAAGAGAAACAGTAAAATTACGTTTATTCAGAGTAAATATTAAATCTGATGAGAGAGAGAGAGAGAAATAAATATATATAACCCTTTTGGATTCGTTTGGTAATACTTTCTGTTTCTGTGTTGACCACAATCAGATCTATCTAATTAAACAAAACCTTTCTGTGAGTTTTTATGTTCATCTTGAATAATTGGCTTAAAGAACAAACACTGTGTTTACTATGGTGCTCTCGTTGTGTATATTCAACAAGGTTGTATGAGGAAAACATTCTTTACTGTGATAATAATATGATGTGCCGTTTCTGCCATATACATTTAAAACGTCACACTTTTATGAGCTGTTATTAATGTCTGAAACATGGCAAAGAAGAAAAGTCCTGAGCAATTTCTTCCATTTACAAAGTTTATAGCACTCAAGAGTTATAAAATGCAGGTATACCAGCTGACATAGGTATACCAGTGAATCTAGGGACTGTGCATTTATAGTAGCAGTAGATCACTTCACAATCATAAAACTGGAAGATGTCTATGTCAGTTTATTTACTTCTAATTAGTCCACTCTCCAGAAATAAATCAGATCTTGTTAGTATCTTACCGTGGCTCGTCTTTCTCTTGTGTGCAGCTTTCTGGATGGACCAGTAACTTGGTGGATATCGTCATGGCTCACCACTTCAGCACTGTGAGTCTCACTTACTGCTATGTAGTTCTCCTGACCTTTTCTCATTGAAGCTGTGAAACAGCAGCTGAACCTCTGGAGGCTTTCTTTTCAAATTTCCCTCGACACTTGTTTCTCAGACATTTGCTAATTATTTTATCTGTGTCCTCTCAGTTATAGAAACTAGTAGATTGTGCCATGTCGATCACGCTGTCGGTTTATTAATCCGTTCTCAGGATGAGCTCACAGACAACCAGGAGCTGATCCAGACCTACCGCCTCCACATCGCCCAAGACATCAACCAGGACAACCTGGCCCTTTTCTGTGGCTCCTACCAATAGTATGAAACAGTTCATGGTTATTATAAACTATATATTAACTTGTATTTTCAGTTTTCTGCTATATATTGTTACAGTTGCGTTTTCATAGCTTAGATCCCTGATAAAGACATCTCAGGCACGCAGCTCTGGCTGGGAGGGAAGGAAAAAGGCCCACTATAAGATAAATAAGGATTATTTTGAATTATGAGTCACTCGCAGCTGCTTCAGCCGTGTCTAAGAATAAAAATACAGAGTTGGTAATGAACATACCAGGACACATTTAATATTAGGTTTTGCAGTTGCCTGTATTTTTGCTTATTCATTACCTTTATGATAACTTTTATTAACAAAGACAGTTAATTGCTGTGGAGTAAAGCCCAAATATACAAGCACAAAAAATGCAAAGCACAGAGGTCTAACGAGATAACGTCCTTTTCAGCTTCTCTAACACTTTCTCATTTTTTCCCCTTGCACCAGCCGTCGAGACCTTGAGATCGAGAGGCCCATAGTGGGTCTGAATGAGGACACGGTCAACACACTAACGTAAGTCTATGAGATCAAGATGACACAAATATACACATTGGGCTGTGAGTGCATGGCGTGATTTGAGAATATCCACTCCTCATTTATTCCAGTTGCCCTGCTTTGCTGGTGGTCGGTGACACGTCACCTGCTGTGGAGGCCGTGGTGAGTGGTGCCGGTGGTGATTACAATCCATCATCTCCATGCGCTAAGAAGCTTGGGGAAGGATTTGTTATGCCAACAAGCAGCGGTTCTTCATCACTCAGTGTTTGCCTGTCTTTGATGTTACAGGTGGAGTGCAATTCCAGGTTAAATCCCACCAAGACTACATTGCTAAAGGTGATGCTTCTCACTGCACTTTCTAACATATGAGATGTATGATATTCATATTTATAAATGTGATTCATTGATGAGACTGATAATTTCCTCTCAGATGGCTGATTGTGGAGGCTTGCCCCAGGTTGTGCAGGTGGGTTTTTTTGTTTGTTTGTTTTTAAATTATCGAGAGACGTGAACGTCATCTTGCTCTTTTCTTGGAGCAACACGATCTTCTAACTTTTTTTTTTTTCTTGCAGCCAGGAAAACTTGCTGAGGCATTCAAGTACTTTATCCAGGGCATGGGCTACAGTAAGTGAAGATGCTCTTGTGTTTTTGTTTTGTTTTGGGGCTTTTTGTATGTGACTGAAGGGTAAACAGATCTAACTCTAAACTGGTTTAAACTGGTTTGCTAGTAGTCAGTGTCCAAGAATTGTTTACAGACTAATACCTGTTTGAACTGACGTGTTTGTGGCCCAGGCGCTCCACTGAATTTCCTGTTGACGTGAGTGCAATGACAAAAGTTACTTAATTGAGACTTGTTTTCAATGCAGTCTGCGAGCTGTTGCTAGCCCCCCCCCCCTCGGACATTGGCCTGCAGAGCGTGAAAAGAAAGTTGTTTTTGCTTTTTTTTTTTTGTCACCCTGCTCACGGAGAGGCAGCCCACGTGGCTCGATGGATGCTAACACCATTTCCTCTCTGCTTTTTGCAGTCTGTGGCTCCCACCAGCCTCAGTAGGTGAGGTGTTAGTGCTTCTAGAATTGACGATCACATTCTATGAGCTGAACAGCAATTTGCTTCCTGTTCAGTTCAGAGTGGGCGTTAAAAATTACCCTTTTTTTTTTTTGCCTGGTGTGTTTTCTTTTCTGTCTGAACTGTTTAATGATGCAGTATTTGTCAAAAGAGACTCAATGCGCATGGTTAAACAGGCCTTCAGGCTTTACAGTCATTCATTTGTTAAAAAATAACAAAATAAAAACATAAAAAGCAGAGAAGCCACAAACACATCTCTAGAAGACCCTACAGGCTTGCTATGCACCAACCAAGACTCTGATTGATGGACAGATGAATGTAGTTTTGCTTTTACCAGCTGCACAGATGATCGCTGCCTATGTGTGTCTTTCTGTAACACCAACTCTCTCTTTCCCGGGCCATTCACTGTAGGAGGGCAGCCATGTGTAGCTAGTATGCCAGAGCCTGGGTTTTATCTTAAAGGCCACCAAGTGCTCCTGTTGAGTAAATGCCACTGCAGGATTAGAGCAGATTAAAAAGAGTGTTTTCATGCAGTGAAAGTGTGGAAAAAAAATCTTAACACCTCAGCATGTTTCTGAAAGCTGGTTTTCCCTCATTAACACATTGCCACAGTGTGAAATGCAAAGGGAAACGGCCAGAAAGCTCAGGAACTCAAGTGTACGGTATAACTTGCATGCATGTCTTCATTTCTTACCTGCTGTTGCTAGCAAACAAATGACAGCTATTTGTCTACAAAAACTGCTGCGAAATACACTGAGGCGTGGCAAAGCACCATGAAGAGCTTGCTTTTCAACATGTCTCCCTTTCTCCTTTCTTTCCCTCTTTAATCATTGCCTGAAGTTCCCTACGTTCTTCTCAGTCACCTGAGCAACGAATCAGGTACCAGGTTTTTAAGTAGCTGCCAGATGAGGAGGCTTTGAACTCAGTGGCCTCATAACAGTACAGTGGATGAATGTCAATGTATGCACGAAGTTCTCGAGAGAGCACTGTTTAATATTTGGAACAGCAGCTCTGGGTTGTGGATACAGTCAGCATACTGCACCCTTTGCATACTCTGATGACATTCACCTCACTCCCTCTCAGCATGCCCTGAGTGTCCTAGTTTACTGCATGAGCTGCCGCTGTTGCTTCTTGTCAGTTCCGTTGGATTGCAAATACGGTGTGCTGCTGCTGTACTTACTGTTAGCACATTTGTGGATAATTTGATTAGTCTCCATTTATGAGAGCAGTTTGCATGCTAAGCACTTGTTTCCTGTTGTTGTTGTTGTTGTTGCTGCTGATGTGTCACGGTATCTGCATTCCCACGCTGCACCGAGTCTGTGGGCCGTGTGAGTGGAATATTAACGCGCGTTTCTCTTTCAGTACCTTCAGCAGGAATGACTCGCTTGGCTCGCTCACGCACCACCTCCTCTTCCAGCATCACTTCCATGGACAACAGTCGCAGCCGCAGCAACGTCAACAGCCTGCTGGAGGGCGGCACCACCGGGAGCCTGGACAGCAAGGCCGGGCCCCAGACCATGGAGGTCTCCTGCTAAGCCCCCAATCCGCCCCCACCTCGCACTCTCCCATAGTAACTTATGTCCCTTCTCCACGTCTCTCTAACTTTCTCTCTCTCTCATCCTAAGCAGCTCAATGCTAGGAAGATCTATAATGATCTATGTGATTAGAAAGGAGGATGTAATAAATATATTAACAGATCCATATTATAAAATATTGTATTAAATACACTGTCAAACTCACATTCCTATCAGAAACCATAACTCCATTCAGATGTGTTGTATATTCAAAAACCATATGATTGACCATATGACTCAGCTGTCCAGTCCTGTATTTATTTTTTTCACATTGTCGTTGTTTCAAATGTCTTCACACAGTGTAGAAATCAAAGTAACTGTTTTTTTTTAACTCCTAACATCGATTGTAAATCATGATTGTGTGTCTTTATCATCAAACTAGCTGCAATGCAAATTAGATACAACGCACGGCAGGAGATCACTTAATATTTACAGAAATAAAGCTGCATATAAAGTGATGTGGATGATGCGTGCAAGTAGCATTGCATACTGTAGCACACTGTTAAGTCCAGCTAAGTTAAATGTAGAGCTGCTCTTGAACTTTCAGTTGTGTTTCACTTCAAGTAATTTGACTTTGTTTAGTTTTTTAACTCAACCCAGCATTTCATTTTCCCTTCTGCTTTGTGTTGCTGTTTTTTTAATTTGCTTTTTTCCCCCTTTTTTTGATGTTGTTCAGTTGACTAGTATATTCATTGTTTTAACAACCTTCAACAAGTGGGATCTGATGTGAAAAGTATGAGTCCCTTCCATCAGGGGCCATGTGGTGCTTCTCACTGTCTGCTGATTAGCTCATTTATATTACTACTGAATAAAGATACGAGACGAGAACGTGTCTTATTTTTATTTGTCAGTGCTTTAACCAATAATTCTGCTAAACCAACGGCTTGTGAACAAGCGTGCAACCTAATCGAATGAATGAGAGAAAGAGCGCGTCTGCGAGCAGAGCGTTCTCATACATCGGCTCTCCCGTTAGTGGAAAAGTGCGGTGACTGTGGTGAGTGAGTTTCCAACCGCTCTTGTTTCTTATTTTGTTTCTGAGAGATAACTTCTGCTGTCACAGATGAGGTGGTCTATATTTAGCACATGTTACAAAAACAATGATCAGCTGCTCTGTAAATAAGATGATTTCTGAAAACAAAGCAGAATGGGAAAATAGTGTTAATATGCTAATCATAACGCCCACTGAGGACCTGCTTACTGTAATGATTGTGGGAGCCCTGTTGCTAATTATTAATTTCCCTTACTTGATGGAGCTTTCCGAGCATTTTTGCATAGAATATAATGTGACATGCATAAACCCCCATTATGACGAATGCCCTGTTTTTGTTGACATCTGTGGTGCATTTACTGAGGTTGTACTCGGAGAAGCAGAGTCGGGCTGATCATTGCATAATTTTTTTACACGAGTTGACTAAAACACAGGAAATATGCTCTATTTAGTGACCCTTTTTCAGTTTCTATTTGAGAAAGATGTACATCAGTGGTTTGGAATGAGTTAATCTCAGATATTTTTTTTTTTTTAAAAAGAGCACAAAGTTCTTTCCATCTGTGCTAACAGGCTGTTCTGGTGATTCAGCACCAATCTGATGTGTTCTTGCTGTATTGTTTCCGTGCAGGGTACACTTGCTCATTTGCGTCTGAAGCAGCTCAGAGTACATCTGATTAAGACACAGAACAAGGAGATATGACAGTTTTATCTTGGTTTTATTAATATTTCCAGGAACGACTGGTTTGGTTTGTGTTTTTTCAACAGAGACATGTTTTTCTTTCCTGCCCTCTCATGGTTTCATAAGCAGTAGAGCTGCACAGTTACAGAATTCGTGACAATTTAAAAAAAAAAAATCTGGATTGCCTTTCACCTTTTCACACTTACATGTATAAAAGAGCAGAACCCCACTGGTGGGCTGTTTCTGCATTGTCACTGTGGTGGATGGATGAGAAATCGTGGCACGCGTAGGTTGGCAGTGGAACCGCCTGATTCTGCAGAAGTTTGTCCTTTATCTCACGGCAACAACTGGAATCTTAACATGATGGATAATAATCTAAAGAGCGAAAACATCTCCACGGTTTTCCCTTTTCCGCACATTTCAAAATACAGAAATTCAGATAGTTTGTCCAGTATAAGCTTATTTTACATTAACTGTCACTGTAAACTGATGACACCTCTTCAACCCACAATGCGCCACAGGGTTCATGTACATGGGGATGACAAATTTCACTGACGTACACATTCATTCCATAAACAAGCGCACAATTGGTGCCTCTTCAAAACAGCCTGCATCAGAGAGATCAACTTGAGGTAGTTTATGTCACTGTTGAGCGTCACAGGAAGTTGCAGCTAAGCCGCATGTATAAAAGCCAGGCAGGAAGCTTCCTCTCTTCAGTGAGCCCACGCGATAAACAGCTGCGCAAACACAGCAGTCTTCGTGGTAACTGATTAGAGCAAGGAACACACTGATTGAGCAGCGTGCCTGAGTAGGAACTTGAGCTTATACATGTACTACACGTTACCCAAGCAACATTGGATGTGCTGAAGGCAGAAGAGCATTTTTCACTGGGAAGACTTGGATTTTATTTGTTATCGTGAAAGGAGTCTAACTAATTGAGCGGAATATATTTTCTGGAGGGACATATTTCATCCAAGAATTGAAAAAGGTGAGAATATGCTTTTCTTTCTTACCATTTCCCCCCTTTTGTTCCAGGACTTCACTTTCACAACGAGGAAATTATGCTTAAATTGCCTTTGAATTTTTGTCACTGAGTGATGATCATGCACTGCAAAGAAATGGAGTAGTTAGTTACAGTGTTTTAGTTTGAGATATGTTCCTGCCTTGCTGCTACCACAGAAGTAAAATCTCATCTCACTTTGCATTTGAGAAACTGACCATAGTTCTCACATAAGTATTGCATTGGAAATTTAACACAGGATATCATACCTCTTGTTGTGGTTAGGCGCTTTCCTGTATTCTGGTTTTGTTGCCCGGATTCAGGTGTCCTAAAACAATATCCTGCACCTCTAAGTAGCTTTACAGATACCACAATGCCAATGCAGGAACTACATTTGCAGTTCAATTATGAATTTGTGCTACTAAAGGCGATTTCATAATAACGCTATATTTTTTTCCCCCCTAGCAGCAGTAGACATTTCAAATTAGCAAGAAAACCACAGACAATGGGGACCTGCCTCACCAGATGCCAATCCAACCTGACAGTCTTTGAAAACCCAGATGAGTCAATGGGTAGGTTTAATCCCAGGACAGAAATATGTGTGTATGTATGTATGTATGTATGTATGTATGTGTATATATATATATATATATATATAATTAGCCAAAGGCAAGATTAAAATCAAATATCTCTTCCTTTCTATCTGTGCAGAGAGCCCAGAAACCGTGATTGTGTCTCTTGTTGATTACCCATCATTTGGAGAAACACAACTGACCATGTGCATTGGGGAAAGACTGGCCATGACATCAGAGTATGTATTACTGCTCTTAATGTTTCAGTTTTAAAGTTCAGCTACAATTAGTGATGAGTGTCATTTATTTATTTCTGTATTTATTTTAACTCACAGCGACGGGGACTTCATAATGGTGAGATCCACAACGACAGGCCGGGAGAGCTACATCCCTATCGAGTACACGGCCAGAGTTACTGACAGGTACAGACACAAGGACCGCGTTAGCAGATTTGTCACATTTTTCTGTGCGTGACTAAAGTCAGAGGAGTTGAAATGAAAGGGGAGGCGGGGAGTTCCCTGAGAGGTGGGAGGGGTCCCTGTGTAGGTGAACTTTTACCTCAGTGGAGACAAATGTTTGGAACAGAGCTTTTCTTTTTCGGTGACATGATCAGCTCCTCCCTCCTGTAGTTTCAGTCCTCCTCCAGTGGTGAATGTGCTCTGATGTTGTTCCACTGGATTTTTCCTAACAGTAAAATATGACATTGTCTTCTCATCTTACTGTTCTGAATGTGCATTTTTTTTATTATTATTATGCAGGTGGCTGTTCAAAGGCATCAGCAGGTACAAAGCAGTGGAGCTGCTCATGCTTCCTAATAACCAGAATGGAGCCTTCTTGATTCGAGAGTCAGAGACAAGCAGAGGTTAGAGGTTTTTATTGTTTTTTGTTTTTTATTCCCCCTTTGTTAACTGTTAGATTTATCATCACCATTCAGTCTGAGGCCAACATCATGCTAGGAGCCCTGAAATTTCTTCATTTGAAGTTGCATTTCCCCTTAGCCTAGCTCTGCTGGGGAGGAGTATTTCCTACCCAGTTATTTTCATTTTCATTTCTTCTGTACTTCTAAACGTGGTGATGGCTTGTTACACTTATTAAGTATGTATAAAGGATTGTTATTGTTCATGTATATGAATTTATTTATTTATGGAGTATTCATCATCAGACATTGAATCCAGTATAATATTTTCCTTAAGGAAAATCACCCTTAAACTGCTATTTCTATTTCTACTGAAGGCACAGCTATTTACAGACTACACTGTAAAGCTCAGTAGAATTATTTAGTTTGCTTCAGAAACAACTGGAACTATGGTTAACAACTAAGACTGGCATATTTTATTAATTCCTGCATCTGTGTGTTATTTCTTTATTTAGATTCCTACTCGCTATCTATCCTGAGGAGAACCAGCTCTTCGCACCAGGACTGTGTGAAGCACTACCGCATTTCTACCCTCCCGAATGGATGGGTCTACATATCTCCAAGCCTGACTTTCTCCTCCCTGCATTGCATGGTGGAACACTATTCAGGTTTGTATTAATGTTGAGACTATTTTGCTTTAACACTAAAGCCCTTGAAAAGATCGATGCCAAAATGTTGCCTTCTTTTGCAGAGACCGCAGATGGATTGTGCTGTCGGCTGGCAATGCCTTGCTTCATCCAGGGTTTAGACAATGCTGAAGAGGCCCGGCCTATTCCAATAACGACCAGGAGGCCCACCATCAAATGGAAGGAAATCAGCAGGTGTGGCTTGCCCTAGATTTACTTGTACTGATGTCTTCCATAAGATGTCACTCTGTGACTCATTTTTCAGCGCTGTCTTTCCTAGATTAGGATCAAGATCTGCCTTTTCCGTTTATGTTGACAGTCTGTTAGAAAGATAATGATTCAGCACTGCGGTAATGTACTGAATAAACTGGTGTGTAGAGTGTGTAAACAACACCGGCAGACATGCCAACAGATAGGCCTGTGGTTACAGTGGGTACGTGCCAGTTGTGAATGTGTGGAACCTGCAAATGTAGAGCAGGATGTGCAGGTTGAAACGGCAGTCTCCAACGGATTCAGTTACCACGTCACTTTCCTCACTGAAGTCTCAAATTCTTCTTTGTCCCCTCCAGATCGGTGATCTTAAAGAGGAAGAGGACAGTGTCAGATCACTCTCTGGTGAGCGAGGGGCTCAGGGAGGCTATTTACTCCTACCTCCAAATGACGGAGGCCGGCGAAAACAGCTGCTGGGACACTTGAGGAAAGACTTCAGAGTGAGACTCTGTAATTCATCGGCTGCGGCTTGGGGATCCCACTGGAAGAGGCCGTCAACACGCCCAAGTGCAGTCTTTAGAGACTGCCCTGGAATAGCGAGAGGGCTGAGACACTACGCTTTGTGGAGATATGCAGTACTGCAAACTATATGAGCTGGAGGACTGCTTTTGTGGATGTGTGTCCAAAGAGGCGTACAGAGGAGCTTTGAGAAATGTGTTCTCATTTGGCTCCGAAACATTGAATGTATCTTTTAATTTATAAACTAATGTGTACTTGCAGGTTGAATGTCATATTATGTGTTAATATTATTGGAATATGATTGTTATCATGGTTGTGTTATTGGAATCCAATAAAAAATATATAATTTATGTAACACGTGCAGATTCTGTGAAATAACCAAACAACTTCGAGGGGAACATGCTAAAGTCCATTTGCTATGCTATTCCATAAAAAAAAGGAAAAACATGCTCTTGCATTGACACATGCATAGCCACACACGTATAGTACACTCATAGAGACATGTAGCCACAGCTTTAAAAGTGCAAAGACATCCGTGTTAGACTGCAGAGGCAAAGCAAGAGAAACACTTTCTCTGGGTGCCGAAGTGGATCACTGAATTCACGATACACTTGCTATCAGCACACAATATCCTCAACACATTTCCATTCATTTTGCAGTTTTCGAGTTTTGATAACAAGCTGCACAAACTGATGAATGACTTATGTCTTTTTTAGTCGTGCTGGTTACCATTGCCGCAAAAACACGAAACTACTGTGAAACGAATAATTATACCGAGCTTGCACTGCAACAAATCATCTTTTAAGTACGTACGTTTAAGATTAATTAACGTAAGTTCAAGTAGTTCAAGTGTCCGTAGAATTCAGCCGCCGCCCATAACGCCTACGCTTGTGTGCAATATATAAAAAATATAAGAACGCAAAAATAATTATGGCAGACCTGAATTTTTTTTTTTTAATTATTATTATTTTTTAATTTGTTTATATATCACGGTATATATGTATAAGAACGTAATTACCAAACGCACAAGCTCGTAGAGTCTGCTTCTCTGCCAGCAGATGCCGCTTAATTACCTCAAATAATTCATCAAAGCCTTTCACTTCCTGCCCAAACAGTTCAGTTCAGGAAGAAGAAATAATGGCGACGCTTCTGGGGTGCGAGTCCCCTTGTACGAGAGGAAAACGAAGAAACTACAGTAGCAATATCATCACGAAGTTCACGGCCACTAAAATCACCGGCCAGGGCTTCAGTCGAGGAACACAGGTGGGAGAAACGACATTTGTTTTGACTGTAAAACCACCCGAAAGTTGATCGACTGAGACCAGGGACTTGCGCTTGGAATCGAGCCTGAAAGGAAGACGTCCGAGAGACCTAACTGGAACTGTAGTCGCTCCTGTCAGCTCGGGCTTGACTAACAGGCTAAAACATAACGGGGTGTGTTTTTTCTTAGGCAATTTTAAACTATAATACAACCTATTGCCAGGAAACATGTTTTTGCTCGCTGACAATCCAAATGACGCTGTCACTGCTACAAGTGTATGAGGAAAGCTCCGTTGAAGTGCCTCTTTTGTTGTTAGCTTTACATTAGCTTAGCATTGGAGGCCAGGTTTTTTACGATATAAAACATTTTAAAGTCGGTTGTCTTCGGACTGTTCTTATGCCCGTTGACTATAATAATGTAAATATTTCTACAGCGCCCCTCACTTTATTTTCTAAATACTGTAATCTTGGTATAAACGACAGTAAGATTTGCTAATGGTAGCGAAGGAGCTAGCGACAGCTAACTAGCTAAGCCAGCAGAATAGCTCAGGTGATTACGTAACAACACTAACCACAATAACTATCGTTTCCATAAATGGGTACGCCACAACAGCTGTTAAGGCATGTTAACGTTCGCAGGTTTATTTTTGTGCCATTTACACGATATTTCTAACTGTCAAGGGTTGGTTGGTTTTTGATTTAATGCTAGCGACAGTTTACGCCAACTGTTTAGATTTTCACGTATCTTCGTGCATACGAATGTCGCAGCTCTCCGGGTGTTTCCACACGTCCAACTCATGCATATCTATTATGATATTGCCCGTTTCATCCTAAATAAAGCCGTCAAATTGCAAAGCTGATTAAACCCATTAACACCTTTTTTGTTTCCAATGCATATGTTAGTGGCGTGACTGTCACATTTCCAGCTAACGTACTGCGTAATGACGTTTACAAAGAAGCTTTGTTCTTAAGTAGATGTTCTAATAACGCAAGGTATTTCCAGTGTTATCTGTTAACACCCCCGATAACACTGAAAACGTCGACTTTAAACAAGTTTTCTTAGGCCGTCCAGGGAATGTTATGAATTGCTGTAATTTGGGAAAACACAAGAGTCCTGCCAGTTCTGCTGACACATGAACAGATTTTAAGGAGGGTATGTCATGTGCTGTGGTTTGAGCCTTCAGTTGTCATAGCAGTCCACTTGGTGTTTTAGGTTGAACTGCCTCTGAGACATGAATTGAAGCTAATTATTTGATCATTCTTCAGCTTTTTGCCCAATTTCAGCAAAGTTGGTGGAGATGGTGGAGCATGGCCAAAACAAGAACCCATTACATTTTGCCTGAAAGGTTCTTAGGCCTTGATTGATTACTCTCTGAGTTTTTTCATTTCATCATCTTTAATATAAAAAAATGGGTAATATTAAGAATTGGTCAAATCATTTCATGTGAAAGTGACAGTAGGAAGACTGGGCTTGTTTTCTGTTTTCACAACCAGTACCTGCCCAGAGTAAACAGAGTTAAGATATTACACATTGTAATAAAGTCAGTTTGTCATGCATAAATATGCTATTTTATCCCAACTTTTTATTTCATTCTTTCTCAGTGAGACGTTTTCTGGTAATAACATTAAAAAAACATGCATATTTACATTTTCTTTCGCATATTTTTAACTTGGTCAATAATTTTTTTGTGTAAGTGTACAAAATGTTCTTTTCTTCCAGGAAGTTTATATGTCACAATAAATATATGTTTCCTGTGATCAAGGGAGGCAATGACTCTGATCTGAAGGTCTCTATGACTTTAGATTTCATAAGGTTTAAATAGAAACTCTGTTGGGGCATGTTAGCTTTTATAGTCTACGGTATGATCAAAGGTGTGGCTTTTTTAGTTTCATTTAAAAGAAGGCTTACTACCTTGCGGTACTCATGAAATGTTTCTTTCTTTGAAAGTTGCAAACCTATTGGAATGAGAATTTTATTATTTATTTGACTGACAACACACTCATATTTTATGGGTATGTGTTATAGTCAATGTCACGGTGATTTTATGTTTATTAAAGATGTAATTTTATTTAAAGGTTTAAAAGAACATTAGATATTTTTACTGTGTATAGCTGATTTAACACAAACGTCATACAGTGTTAGAATAAAGTATGAGAAGACCTTCTCACATAGCAGACAGTAAATGTCAGACTGATTTTTCACTACTGAAAGTACTATGTAGTATTGTGGTTTCTAAGCAGAATGTGCAGGACAGAGAATATACTCGCGGTGAATTCTCAAAACAATTACCTGTGCTATTCACAGATTGTCTTAATCAGACATTACAGACTTGAAACTAGGGAGCTGGTGGGATAAAGTCTGTTTAGTGCTAATTGGATTGATTCTGACATTTGCAGTCTGATATACTGCTCCTCTAAGTAGTATCTAGTTCAGGACTGCAGTGCATGTTTGAAAAGGGCTCATGTTGCCTCTTTATGTGTTGTAGCTCCCAGGAGGTCTGCTTCAGGAGAGAGATAAACGTGCCAAGTGGAATGGCATCCCTACTCTGCTGCAGAAGCTCTATGAGAGCAGCCATCCCAACAGTGACCTCTCCCATGCCCACACCTTTCTTAAGGTATCCACATAGCACTAGTCCATCAAATGGAAAATGACTGGTTTTAGCTTGTGTTTTTTTGCTCAGTGTTTTACTTTGAAAACTGGTGGGGAAAAATAGTAATGTGACCACTGTCTTTTTGGCAGTTATTATTATCCCAGCTGTCTGTGGAGGCCATGTCCTTTGTCACAGAGGACAGGAAGACCGCTCAGGAATCCACCTTCCCCAACACGTACACTTTTGACCTCTTTGGTGGAGTTGATGTAAGTCTTACATTCTTGTGGTGTTATTGGACTGAAGCTGTTATTTCTGAGGAATAAACTCTCATGTATAGCTCAACTCCTCCTGAGATACTGGAGAAATAAAATGGTTTTCTCATTTGTCTGTGTTCATAAAGCTTCTAGTGGAAATCCTGATGAGACCTACACTAACTATGCAGAAGAAGAAACCTAAAAGTAAGTAGGACTGCCATAACATCTGTCCGCATTTCTGCGTTTTAGTTCTACTTAGTTTTTTTCCTATAATCCTGAAACAGTCAGATTAATATTTGTGCTTCTGTTACAACAGTGAATGATGACCTGGTCAAAGACTGCCTTAGTGTTCTGTACAACTGTTGCATATGTGTAAGTACCATGTTACATCTTTTTCATATAAAATATGCCACACACATCATATTTTCCCTTCCTTGATGCAGAATCATTTTTGCATAATTTAATGACTGTAAAATTCCTTGTTTAAATTCATAGACGGAGGGCGTCACAAAGAGTCTGGCTGCTAGGGATGACTTTGTTCTGTTTCTCTTCACCTTGATGACAAACAAGAAGACCTTTCTGCAGACTGCTACTCTTATTGAAGATATTCTTGGAGTAAAAAAGGTCAGAGTTCTACTTGGATTAAGTGACAGTAGGGGGTAAATGTATTTATGGATCTCTTGACTTCACTTTATGCATAGTTACTCAACTATTTAAAAAGGATTTTAAGCAATGGATTATAATCATGTGTTAGCCATGCGACAGACTGGTGACCAGTAGAGGTGGGAATCACCATACATCCCACGATACGATATTATCACAATACTTAACGCACGATACAATATTATTGCAATTTTTTAAAATATTTTGCGATATTCAGATTCTGTACATAAAGGTAAACTTTATCAATATTCATTTTATCAAATTTCAAAGTCTCACACTCAGTCTCTCATTTCAGTCAGTTTTATTGTTGACAAACTGAACGGTTTGTATTACAGTCTAGTCCAACTTAACTGAACGCAACCATCTGGTACAATTATAGCTATTCTGAACTATGCAATTTATGAAAACTATGCAGCCCATTCAGCAACTGAAGAATTTGAAAGTAAATTAAAACAAAATATAATTTTACATTAAATAAAAAAGTTTTAAACTTAATTAAAATAAAACATGTCTTAAATTAAAATAAGTAAACTGTCATGTTTATTGCTGCCAAAAGTTAAACACATTTGGACAGTGAAGGAATGTCA